ATCTCTTCAGGAAGACTCCTTTGAAAATGGCATCCATCATGTTCTCAATTTCAAATTTCCTGTCTTGTAACTGAGGAATGAAAGTAATTCGTTCAGTCTGGTTCACATATTGTGTGTTCATATTTTTTTTCCTGTATATCAATATTACCATTCAAACATTTGGGGTCAGTAGGAGTTTTTTTTTTTCTTTTTTTTATTCACCAAAGATTCTAAATAAAAGGATTTACTGTTATTTGATCAAATAAATGAAGAGTTCAGATGCAAAAGCCTCTAAATGCCATTTGAAATTTTCTTCTTTAATGATGATTTTTATCAAACTTGTATATTTAAGTTCAGTGATTTCACTTAAATAACAATTAATAGGTAATTATCATTGCCATTTAAGTGAAATCACTGAACTTAAATATACAAGCTTGATAAAAATCATCATTAAAGAAGAAAATTTCAAATGGCATTTAGAGGCTTTTGCATCTGAACTCTTCAAATGCAGCCTTGGTGAGCATAAAACACTTCTTTCAAACACATTTACAATCCTACCAACACCAAACTTCTGAATGGTAGTATATACCATTTATATTTTTTTAATATTCCACCTACAGTATTAGTTACAAGTGGAGGTCTGGTGATTTAAAAAAAAAAACTTGGGTATCTTAAAAGTTATTTAAAGTGCAAATCATGTACTGTCTTTAGCAGACATTTGTATGACTGTTTGAATTGTATACTATGTCACTTACATCATTGAGTGTCGGTGTATAGTATACAATGCGATTCAAAACTTATCTATTGTTTTCATGTACTCACCAAACCCAAATTTTACTCACATTTGGACTTGGCGAGTGTCAGTTTTGGACCCTGACAATACTTCAGAAAGAACTATGTATAGAAATGTTGAACTCTTGTTGTCACAGTCTAACCTCACTGATCTTTCTCTGGATCCTGTCCAGCCGCTGAGAAGCCCGTTTACTGGCCATCTTAGCCATCTCAACCTCATACAGCCGCTGACTGTTATCGACACTGACACTGAGGTTGAGAGCCACATTCACCAAAGCGCTGAGCAGCTTCATTGCTGCAGAGACACACACAACAGTGGCAAAACATCAGCATTCGGAATATGCGTGAACCAGCCCATTCTCATCCCAAGGCGTCATATAGGTGACGCTTTGACATTGCGTCTACATCCGATGCACATGGCACCCTTTAGCGTCAATATGAGACGCAAATATATATGGGCCAGAAAGCGCCTCCTAGTGGTCTAACCCATACCTAAACCTACCCATAACCAAAGCGTGTTATATTGACGCTAAAGGGTGCCATGTGCGGCAGATTTAGACGCAATGTCACCTATATGACACCCTAGGATGAGAATGCATTGGTGGTTCAGCCAGGTCAGGGGGAATTCATGTTCAGAGGGGAACTTACCTGCTAGCGTACAGGTGTGCCTGAAAGCGCGAACTCTGGAATCGGAGAGCTCTGTCAGCAGTGAAATGAGTGTGTTCAAGAGGTAGCCATCAAAGATGACAGAGTTCTGACACTGGGCCACTAGCACCGATACAAACTCACAGAAGTGTGAACGAAACCTCTTCCAGTACAGCCCGGACATGATGAGGGGATACTCGCCACTGTCCTGAGAAGGATGAGGAGACATTTAGTTTTAAATTTAAAATAAGTTTGGAGTTAGTAAGATGTATTTAAAGCAGTAGTTCACTTTTAAAAAAACTTTTGCTGATAATTTACTCACCCCCATCCAAGATGTCCACGTCTTTCTTTCTTCAGTCGCAAAGAAATTAAGGTTTTTGATGAAAACATTCCAGGATTTTCTCGGTTCAAGGTCCAAATGAGAGTTTCAGTGCAGCTTCAAAGGGCTTTAAACGATTACAGACGATGAATAAGGGTCTTATCTAGGACCCTTCGAGTCATGAATTGAAAAAAGATTTTGATGAACGAGTTTGAACAGGAGAGTCATGAACGCTCATCACAGAACAGAGCAAGGCGAGCATTGTGCTTATAAAACTTTATTTTTTAAATGAGCGATCGTTTCGCTAGATAAGACCCTTATTCATCGTCTGTAATCGTTTAAAGCCCTTTGAAGCTGCACTGAAACTCTCATTTGGACCTTGAACCGTTTGGTTCCCATTAAAGTCCATTAAATGGAGAAAATCCTGGAGTATTTTCATCAAAAACCTTAATTTCTTTTCGACTGAAGAAAGAATGACATAGACATCTTGGATGACATGGGGGTGAGTAAATTATCAGCAAATTTTTTTTTTTAAAGTGAACCACTCTTTTAAAAGAAATGAATACTCTTAAACCGTACCATGTCAAGAGGCCACGTGACAGTTAAAATCCACGGAAATGCAAGGAACTTCTTAAATTGTAAACCTGTGTCCTATGATTACATAAAGGCATCAGTAAGAGCAAAGAACACGGGAAAGCATTCAATGAGGACGGAGTATTCTGAATGACAAACCTCATCCAGATCTTCCACCATTTTACTCATGACGTCAGTACCCTGTTTGCTCTGAAACATCTCTGCTGTGACCATCCCTACAAAACACACATAGCATTCACATCCTGAACTATGGTATTTGTTAGATACAAGCCACAAAAAACTAAACAACTAAAAATTAACCAATAACATCAAAATTGTCCATTTTAGACGTCAATAGTATTTAAAAAAAAATGCTATTATGAAAGAGAGCACGGTTGCCTTTGCATCCTGAACACTGGATAAAGAAGCTGATGAGATCGAGCAGTGCTGTGTCTCTGTCAACGGTGTACGCATCAATCCAGTCATCCACCACAGCCTTGCACAAAACAGACCAAACATCCATGTAACACAGATTTGTTTAAACTTATATGATCTAAATAGAATTTTGTGACCTCCCAAATATTTATCTGTAACAGGGGTGATCTAGATGGATGTACCTGCATGGCGCTCCTGCCCATGCTGACCACCTCAAACAGGGTGACGGCTTCCACATCTCCATTTTTGAGCTGTTCGTTCTCTGCTCTGCCCAGGCTGCCATTACTGCTCTTTGAACGCTTTCGCTTGGCATTTTCAGAGCATTCCCGGGCTTTCCTCTTTCCTCTCTGCACACAACAAAAAATAATACCAGATTACAACTGATCTTACAGTTTACCTCAAAGGAAATTGTCTGTGCTATAATGAAAGTCTATGAGATGTAACATGTTGTAAGGTTGTTGTTGTTGTTGTTGTTTTTTTTGTGTGTGTGTGTTTCAGTTTTTGAGAGAAAGGAGTGGTATCTCTTACCACAGTCTTCTGTCTGTTTTCATTTCTCTCACTTGAGACGTGAAGCACCGATGCACAGGAAGAGACGTCGACTACTGAGTTCTCTCTGAAAACAGGATGCACAGGCAGTTGTTTCTATGTACACATAGCACACCGTAAATATATAATGTAATTTTGAAAATAATGCAGAGGTAATTTTCATGTGTCTCACTTTTGCACCGATCTGGACAGTAAAGTTGGCTCTGCTATCATCTCGCATCAACTGATGCTCTTCTGAATTACAACAAAATAAAAATAATAGAAGTGAGTATCAAGTACTTCAATGTTCCTATATCACTGACAATAATGTTGCACACTAATATTTGTTACACACTAATCATAAAATATAAGAACAAAAATGTTGTTATATGCAATTTGTAATAAAATGCAACATCATGCATCTAGAAAGAAAAATATCATATATCTTTGCATTTTATTTACACAGTTCAGTTTTGTATTTATATAAAACAAATGAGATTAAATAGAATTGCAGTACATACAACAGAATTAAATACAAATACAGTGAACCTGTGAACCTTTTGAATTTGTAAATTTATTTTACTTATTATATTTAATGATTATATACACTATAGTTTAACAATGTTATGATCACTTAAACACTCTCTTTTAATACATTTAAAATAGTTATTTTTCAGGACAAAATTAGTGTTAATACAGTAACAGAGTTAATCTCAACCTTTTAACTATCATTGTTAATATAAAGCAATATTTGAAAGCCCCTAATACGATAATATCTGGAACTGTTAATGTCTGATGACAAAGCTAACTGCTTTCATGTTTGTTTTATATCACAGAAGCTAAAAAAAATAAACAAACACGAGCTCTTGCCGCGAATTTCCTTGATTTTTACAACAATCAACAGAAAATCGTTCATTTACATTAGTAAATGCAAACGTTCAATTTGTTTGTCAAAATATTTCCAAAACGTTTTATACTTCGACTTTCATTGATACGGACATGAACATAAACTCGGAAGACACACAAAAGGGATTAGGTGACATAGCGACCTCTTCTTGGATGCCATTGGCTGAGATGCACGTCAACAAAACAAAACCAAAATACTGATTGGCTAGTTTGAGTGTCAATCAAAAATCTCTCATTCCTCTGTTACTGTGTCATTTCTATAACAAAAGCCTCAAATGAGAAGAACCTGCAGTTTCATTCATCTGAATGTTTGAACGGTGCAAACCGTTGCTGTCAGGTTAAAAACACACTTTGCATGCCATAAGGTTTATTAAAAACCAATAAGCAACGAAAAGATAATCGGGAGATTAGCGTCTGTTAATATCTCTGTTTATTATATATATCACGATAATTATGCAAACACGCAAATCGATTAATCTTACCAGTGACAGCCGTCATCTGGATTGGAAGATCAATGTAAACTGTCTGCACTAATAGATTGGGCTACTTCCAGTTCTTCGTAGCCGCGCGCACGTCAACGAGAGAGCGCTGTAGGCTACGTCTGACGTCAACCCATAAAGAGGTAGGCTAGGCCATATATATTACATAACTTCAGCATATAATATTAGTAATAACTTGATTTAAACAGCCAGCAATTTTCATAAACTGCTTAAATTTATGTTATGTTAATTTATGTTTAATTTATTTATAATTTTATACAGTATTCTTCTAAAGTGATAAATAAAATGAATTTTGAATAAATATGTAAATATGTAATAAAACAGTCTAATATATAATAAATTGAGAAATTCAGAAGGTTCACAGCTACAGTACAGATTGATTCTGCATTCTATATATATATTTATGTATATTTTCTTTTTTTTTTTTACTGTTAACCAATACTTATCATGGTCACCTTGTTTGAGTTTATTTGTGACAATGACCAGGCTATACACTATACATTATATGAAATCTATACATTATATGAAATCACACATGTAATAAATGCTGATGAACACTCCTTGCACTCATCAATGGGAAGAACATGTGCAACAGTCACTTCAAGTATACAGATGAATTATAAAAAAATAAATAAATAAATAAATAAATAAAAAAATTTAAAGAAAGAATATGAAAACTCATGAAAACTCACGAAGCAAACAATAAAAAAAAAATATCCAAGAAAGGTACAATAAATTACTCAGAAGTGATATTCGGAATGTTAACTTATATGACAACAATGTTTCATCATGGTCTTAAAAATAGATTTGTATAACATTGTTTATCACAGTCTTATGTGTGGTAGGAGATGAACAAAATCAAGTGACACTCAAAATGATCATTTTTCGAGAGAATCCCTTTTATTCTGTGACTCTTCCTCGCCATCCACTTGAGGCACTGTGGATCCAGTGGTTAGGAGAGGTTAGAGCCAGGTTCCTTGAACGGATTGAACTCTTCGCTGAGCTCTTCTGAGAGTGTCAGTACCGTTGATACAATGTTTTGTGTTATCTCTGACACCCTGTGAAAAGTAAATCCATTACTTATGCATGATTACTCTCTTCTGATTCTAACAAATGGAATCAAAACTCACCAGCTCAATAGATGTGCTGGCAACTGAGGATCCAGCTTGGACCCGTCCTCTTTCGAAAGAGACATTTTCAACTGCTTGAAATTGGCCTCAATATCCTTTCTTATGATGGAGAATGGCAAGATGTCTTTGAAAGACTTTAGCACTTGCTGTAACAGAGACCAAAAAAAATGAATGTTGTCCAGAATCAAACATTGTTATGCTTTTTATGTATAGATAATGTTAAGTGAATGAAGATTAAGTCAAACAAACTCACATAAATTGCTGATAGCTGATGTGCGATGTACTTATGACTCCCCAGATGCTTCACATCTTCATTTACCTGCTGACTGAGAACCAGCAGCTGGTTCAGCCTTCCAATATAAGGAAAATAAGCTGGAAAGTGGAAACATTTTAATCAACGTGATTAATGGGCTTTGCGTCATTAAAGGACACTATTTTATACAAATATATAAATAAAATCTGATATTCTAGCACTTTTTAATTATGCATGTTTGTTCATTTTAATATAAATGTAGTATACATGTATCCAGTTTGTAAAAGAATGCTAAAAACTATAGCAAATTACTTTTCGCATGCTATGTATTATGTTGTCTTATTAGTATTATTATTATGTTTTAACTTTTTTTTGTTATGCATTTTATGTATAGGCATACTAATTTTATTTGTGTAATATATTGAAATGGATGTTATTTTTTTATCTTACTTTATAGTAATTACGGTATTTGTACTTTTTTCATGTGAAGTACTTGGTACTTATTGTGATGCTTTTTTTTAAAATTGTAGAACACCAGAAGCTGCATTTCTTGTATAAAAGGCGAAATACAAATAAAGTTTATTATTATATAGGCTATTATATTGTTATTATAAAGTTTATAGACTATTATTATAGTCTCAACCATTGGGTGGTGAATGTTACAGTACTCACGCATTCCAAAATAATGACCATTCTAGCCAATTATTCTACTTCTTTGGTCTCACCATCTGAAAGAGATTTTCCCAGCGTGTCAATAGGCCTTCCGTGTATCATATAAACTTCCACTCGAGGCAATATAGCGAATAAATTTATAACATCCAAATATTCCTAAAGAAATGGAAATAAATGGGAACATATTATCCAAAAATTATAATTGAGTTTAAAAGAGGAATGGTTAATTGGTGATTAGTTAGCCTACCTCAAGCTGAAGCACCGGTTCAGACGAATTTTCAAGACACAGGTTCATCTGATTTATTATCTCAGCCCCTGTTGACACAACCAGATTCAGAGGTTGTACATGTGATACTAATTATACTAATAGGCTACAGTAAAGTTATTATTGTCACCATTATAGTTTTAAGCTTACCATGTCTCTTAAAACTTTCAGACTCCTCGGGACTAGAGTCCTGTTTAAGATTCTCCTGAAACGGCAAATGTAGATTAGATGTTTGAATGTTGAGACAAACACATAGCCTACATGCAGCATCAGTGTAAGTGTCTCACCTGATGGACCTGAGCTCTGATCAACAGATCCAGCTGGCTGCAGAGACACAGCATCTCCAGTGCCACCTGCTCACTGCTCAGGAGAATGGGCATCAAGGGCTTCTTCACACACACCTCAACTGTAAACAACGAGAAAGAAAGCATGTGTTCATATTCAATCAGATGATCATTTCATTAAACAACATTTTATTGAAGAGATAGGCATTACCTTTGAAATGTGAACGATAAGAACAAGGTTTGCAAAGCGGATCCGTCAGACTCACAGCTGCCATTGTCACCGTAATAATCGCACCAGTGACATATGTATATGACTAATACTCAATGTATTAGTTTATTTTATCCATTAAGGGCGTTTGTTATGGCAAAGGGGCATTTAAGCGGTCCTCCTCTCTCCATTGTTTTCATTCATTCACACCGCGGCATGAGATGTCAAATAAAAGGCGTGGCCAAAACGACGAGAACCCACCGAAATGTGCCGGTGTTCGGTGAATCTGCAGTGATAACTGCCGTAGAAATAGAATAAAGTGGCTGGAATAGTCAGTTTATGACACAAGTGTCGGAATGGGCGGGCTTAGTGGCCCAGGCTGAGTCGAAATTAAAAATACATACAGTTTGACGTTGTGTATTTTCAGTTCATATGCTTTGATGTTTCTTAGTTGTATTATTTAGGAAGATTTAAATTTCTATAGACCGCTAGTGAAGCAGAACGTAATTGAAATGTCACGAGGAACCGGTGACTTTTTTCCGGGTGGTGACGTGCATAGTTTTCAACCGCCTAATTTTTTTAACCCCCATGGTTAATTTCTCATTCATTAGTCACTTTATATCTAGGCTGTAATGTAATGTAATAAAAACAATTAAAAAAAAATGTAATAAAACGTCATCGACATTATTTTGTTTAATTACGAAGGTAAACCACTATGGCAAATGATTTAACTTACCTTTTTATCTTACATTTATCATAAATTTGATTATATTTTCATACACAATTTTATAATTCTGAAAAAGGCACAACGAGAATGCATAACTATGATGTAGCCTATTACAATTACACCCAAATCTAATGTTAGACATTTCTGTATTGACAGATAAGGATAACAATTTTGTTTTCTACGAAAAATAAGTAATTGTTAATGAAAGGGAGGAGTTATTTCCAATTTTTATTAAATAGTAATAAACAAAGACAAGAAAATGTTTTAGAGCTCTTCCATGATTCCAATGAATTATAATAAAACACGGCTTATTTAAATGTCTCCTATTTCAAGTGACATAAGAAATGAAAGTAATGCAATCAAAATAAACATTTAAATAGTGTGCTGATAAAGAAAACATCAATACTCACACAGTACTGATATCTTGTATTACAAAAAAAGACAAGAATTTTTCTGCAAAGTCTCAAAAAAATACAGCTGTAGTTAAACACTTTTTTCTATCACAATCATTTCCATAAGAAGTGCATCTGAAAAAAAATAAATGCGTTAGAAGAACTTCAAGCTATTTAAAAAAAAAAGAAGTCCTGCTTTTGTTACAATTTTTAATTTACATGCTTCATTATACAATAAAAAAATGTTCCATCATATTTCTGCTCCCTTTATTGACGATATGATACACCCTTCAGAAGAGTTCATTGGCTGCAGCAGAAAACCTGAATCTCCCCGGAGTTAGGGATAAATTTATTAACAGACAAGTCTGGAGAAGTTTCCATAGAGACACCAAGTTATGGCCGTCCACCAGGGTTCAGCGTGAGATTAGCCATAAGCTCATGAACTGCAGCAAATATTGTGCACTCCCCTGTTAGAAAAAGGTTAAGAGTTAATATTGATAAGTGAATGAAGGAAAATAAAACATACCAAAGTTTTAAAAAATCATTAAATAAAACAAATAAAAGATGCATATTCAAACATTCAAAAAGCACTAATCTACCTGATCGTGGTGGATGGTGTTCATTGAACCTCCTGAGGATGGAGCTGACCATCAAGGCCGCGGCTCCAGAGGAGCTGTGCTGGCGGGGGATATCGGCCTGTTGGGTCAGTCCAGTAGCCATGTCGTACACAATGGGCACTATGATACTTATGGGCTCCTGGGGTACCAGTGTCCTTTGGGTCAGCTGGAGCTGTAGAAGAGCATCTCTTCATGTTAATATATGTCGGGAATCAACAGTAAATTCAAAACATAGAACATTACAGACCTGGTGGGTGTACAATGGCCAATAAATAAATCAGAATTCAAAGGTTCAGCAGTAGAGCAAGAGTTGATTTGATCCATTGAGAATTGGTTGTACACTCAGAGTGTTGAAGGAGTGATTAAAATCACTTACAAAGAATAGCATCTTGGTCTTCAGCACCACAGCAATGGTTCCTGGTGGGGCAATTGGAGGAGCGCTGGGTGGGATGGTCAGACAAAACTGCACGTTCCAATTCAGCTGGGCCGCTTGATCTGGAAACTAGAAGAAAACGGTAGGGGTTATGTTTGGGGTCAGTAATATATATATATATATATATATATATATATATAATATTTTCAGCATCATTACTTTAGACTTCAGGAAACTCAGTATATTTGTGCAGTGTGTGCATATCAAAAGATTATATCCGATTTGTCTCAAGATTAACACCAGTAACATGTTTTTTCTAAGATCATTTACAAAAGCTACTTAAATCTATGGAACTAAGGCCTAATCCTGGCTTAATCTAAGCAATGTTTAGAAACATTGCTCAAGAAACATTTCTTATTGTTATGAATGTTAAAAACAGTTGTTTTGCTTCATATTTTTGAGGAAGTCCTTATACATTTTTTTTCAGGACTCTTTATGATGAATGAAAAAAATTAAAAAGAACAGCCTTAATTTTATTTTTTACAGTGTAAATGTCTGTCACTTTTGATCAATTTAATGTTTCCTTGCTGGAAACAATTCTTTAAAAAAAAAATTGTACTGATCGCAAATTGTTGAAAAGTAGTGTGTGCTTATGCAAAAAAGGCAACATTTTTTCAAATAAACAATTTGTGCTTACCAACTCCAATTTCATGATGCGAACACAGTCTCTGAGGATGTTGGTAGGAGCTCCCAACAGCTTCGTGAAGGCATTTAGTGTGTTGTATTTAAAGGGTGGTCCTGCAACCTGCAAGGTAAAAGTGAAAGACAATGTATAGCACTTGCATGACTGGAGAATAGCTGGCTTGATTTCACTTGGCTCAGTGAACTGATTTTCTTTAAAAAGTACAAAAAAAAAAAAAAAAAAACACTAATTGCACCAAACAGAATAGCAAAAATAAGTGTTTTCAATGTGTAAATAGTTAAATGTGGGGTAAGCAATATTTGATAAACATCAATAAACGCTGTTTAAAAACGTTGGCAGGACCAACAACCAGACTCAACAACAAACGTGTAGCCAATCAGCATTAGGGGGGCAACGGGTCATATGGCGGTGGCGGAGAGAGAACGAAGACTGTAGAGACAGTGCGAACACAGGCTGATGACTACTAGAGAACGCAGTGTTTACTGTTTAGTGTCCTTGTTAGTGCACCCGCCTCACATGCCAGCGATCGGGGTTTGAGAGTGACTGAACAGGACTGTTAGGATTGGAGGGTGAGCTTTGGCGGTGGAGCAATAAAGAGAGGGGTATGTTTGTTTGGGTTGATTTTAAGCATCAACAATATCCAGCAACGACTTTGAGAAATAACATACTGCTCCTTTAAGCCGGTTTTTCCAAACACGTGACATCGGTTGAGCCAATGGTGTCAGAATAAGCTCATCAGGGCACTCAAACAAACAGATTGCAATTCTGTCTGCTGCCACTTTCCAAAATATAATGAAAGAGGAAATTTGAGCTTCACTGAACACCACATCACATGATAGTAAGCTAGTTGATGATAGGAGTTCATTTCCTACCCTGGTCTCAAAGAACTTCTCTAGGACCTGCAGCTCCTCCTGCGACCAGGGTCCAGTGTTTTCTGGTGTGACTTTTAGCTGCAAAGTCTGGTAGGATTTGGGGTTGAGTGCCACTCTACATTTAAGCACATCCGTCTTAAACATGATGACGCCTGGTTCGTTTGAGTTCACAATAGTAAGCTGCAAAGAGAAAGTAGTCATGTGTAATTCAAATAAACTATAGACCATTTCACAAGATGTAAACAACACTGGTCCAGAAGCACTTCCTGTTTCAGTTTTTTAACACTACATAAAAGCTGGGATAAAAAACAACCAGCAGAACATTTAAAACTGAATCAAAAAGTTAAACAAACACCTTTAAGATGTTTTCTTTACATGTGAAATAAAGAAAACAGTTACAAACTGAAACAGGAAGTGTTTCTGGACCAATGTTGTTTACATCTTGTGAAATGGTCTATACAAGCAGAATCAACATTCTGATGTGTCAAATGATGAGGTTATAAAAACAATATTTGAACGGTTTCTGACTCACGTTGGGTTCTATCTGGATGATTCTCTGTAGGTGTCGTCTCATGATGACAGAGCCAAGGAAGCGCTCAAGAGGTGAGCACAGGTAGCTACCCGCCAGCCCTGGCACCGGGCACGGCATGGGTGAAGGCAGAAGCAGCACGTGTAGTTTGCTGTGGGTGAGGATGGTTGGAATAGAAGCAGCCCAGGACCGTTGCGGCAGTTTTCGAGGAGGGGGCATTGCCTGTGAACCTGCACACACACACACACACACACAGTGATTGGAATAATTCAGCTACTGCATATTGTTTGAAGAAATACTCAAATGTGAATTAATTTAAATTATTTTATTTACATCAAACCTAGTCAATAATAGTAATTATCGGGATATTTTATAATTAATTTATATCGGGATAATTTATAATTATCGGGATATATCGGGATATTAGATATTTTCTCACATACACCGTCAGGAAAATATCTAATAATATTTTACCCCAAAATGAAAAAAATAAATATATATATATATATATTTCAGATAAAATTAACAGTCTAATTTTAAAAACATCAAGATATTTTTAATTGCAGCATAATTTAAGACAATTAAGCACAAAAAAAACTGCAATAAAAACAAAATGCATTCTCCTTATATATTTTTGTTGAAAACGTTACTGCTTAATTGTTCCTCTGGAAATCATGATAAAAAAAACATCTAAATTCTTTGATGAATAGAAAGCTCAAAAGAACAGCATTTATTTGAAAAAGAAATATTTTGCAACATTATAAAATGTCTTTACTGTCACAAATTAATATCTCCTTGCTGAATAAAAAAGTATTAAAGGGATAGTTTGAAGTTATTTCTTCTGCTGAAAACACAAAAGAAGAGATTTAGATTTTTTCAATACTGTGGAAGTCAATCAACTATTAGTTACCCATATTCTTCAAAATATCTTTGTTTGTGTCCAGCAAAAAAAAAAAAAAAATACAAATTTGAAACAACTTGAAGGCAAGTAAATGTTGAGAGAATTTTCATTTTTGGGTGAACTATCCATTTAATTTCTTTAAAAAAAAACTATCAATCCCCAAACTTTTGAAAGATAGTGTATGCATATTTTAAAAATATTAAG